TGGACAACCGTAGCTCATTACGATTATCTCACAAGACCTTTATTATTTATAATTTGAGATTGTTTATTTACGGTGCATAACCGAATATATCACCAACTATAGTTTATTTTTATGAACGAGAGAGTAATTAGCATAATTTTAACTGGTACCTCCGACCACTCCATGGGCGTGCTCAAGATTAATTGAAAAATTACTGTGAATAATTGTAAAAAATAAATGAATTATTTCAGTGTTATAAAGTGTTATGTGTATGTAAACAAAAGTGACCTCTTTTATCACACACTATATTAGAACTGACTGGCCTACATTAAAAAGGGTTTTAAAAAATTCACATTTTTTTTAATTTTTAAAAATTACAAAAGAGAAAAAGAGTTTTTAAAACCGTCTAAGGTATGTTGAATAGATGAATAAAAATATTAATATAAAACTTACAGCTACTTGTTACAAATCCAAATCAGATTCAGAAGATGAACTTTCAGAACCAAGATTTATAATAACTGGCTCGATCATTTTATCAGTAATATTGTCGAGCTTCCACATTTTTTCCTCTTCTTTAATAGTGTGATTTACTGCCTTTTCCCAATTTTCAGGTTTTACATTATTTACGGCCTCCAAAAACAACTGTTTAACATCATGAATTTTAAAAGTGGTATTTTTTCTTGAAACTTCACTCTTTATCTGTGTCCATACCAGTTCAATCGGGTTTAATTCACAATGATATGGTGGGGATCTAAGTACTGTCATTCCACGATTTTTGGCAATTTCATCAATTTCGTATTTTTTAAATTTTTCTTTATGAAGGGCACACAACGAATAAAGTTCCTTTCTTATAGATCCGGGATGGTACGTAATATTTTTTGAACTCAGCTTCTGATTCAAAGTCTTCTGCAAGTCTTTTTTTAACCACTTGGTTGTGGGCAGTCCTTCTATAAGTCTGGAGTGATAACTTGCATTATCCATTACTATTACACAGTTCTTAGAAAGAAGATCTATCATTTGTTCGAACCATTCTTGAAAGACATCAGCGTTCATGTCTTCATGGTAGTCACCGGTACGAGTTGATTCAAAAGTTAATAAACCACCTTCAACAAAACCGTCTGAACTGCCAATGTGTACTATTATCAGCCTGCGTCCCTTTCCTGATGGTGGGTTTAAACCAGTAGATAAGTTATTTACAAAAGCGTGCCTTTGACTTGTAACAGTTTCATCCTGCCAAAATTTATTTGGTGTATGACCCTCGTTGATCCATGTTTCATCAAGATAAAATATTTTTCTTTTTTGGTTTCTCATTTCCTTTATGGTTCTTAGAAAATGTCTTCTCCATATGATAATATCGCTTCTTTCTAATAAAATAGACTTTCTGGGATTCGTTTTCCAGCGGAAGCCTATTTCTTTTAAAAGTTTCCATAACGTACTTCGACTCATTTCTGGGTAATCCTTATCATCTCGAACTAAGACAAGAACTTTATCCAATGTTGGAAATTCTTGTCTAAAGAAGAATTCATGCACTTTCCGTCGAAGTCCTTCTTTAAAATGATATTCTATTTGAAATTTTGGTTTCCCTGGAGCATTACGTGGCATTTGAAAACTACCACATTTCTCTTCTTTAATAACTCTGTAAATCGTAGATTTCCCAACACCAAGTGTACTGCTAACTAACTCAACGGTCTCATCAACACTTTCACATAAACGTTTGTCTGTAAATGATTTAAAACAATTAAATATTAATGTTTTTTCATTAACTGTTAAAGGACCAATTTTTCGGCGTTTACACGGCACTTCCAAATTTTCCATAACACTAGTATACACAATAAACTGCACCTTGCAACTGAAGTACCTACTTTTAGTGAACTGTTAAGAATTTTGAATACGCCACTTGGACCTTCCTACAAAATGGAAAAACCCACTATCACATTTTCTGTGGAATAAGTTTAGAAGGTAATTATCTAGTCAATTACTGTCGTAGATTCCTGGAATTAAAGAATTAAATGTTTGATTGTTGAAACCCTTACTTCGTGGAATACACTCATTTCAGATAAAATAAAACGTTTTATTTTATCTAAAGAATTAAACTTTATTTTGCAAATAGGTAGGTACTTATTAAACTTTTATTGGTTATATATAACCAATAAAATAAACATCTTACATTTCTTGCAAATTCATTAGTACCTGTTAACCTCCATCACTCCGACACTGGCAACCTTATTTAGGGATTAGTAACCCTCACAACTATTGTATTCTATTCTGCTCCAACCTTTATACCTGGTGGTCATACTCAATTTAAAATTGTTTTCCTATATACTTCTGTAAACTTGTTGACAAATATCTGTTTTTCATTGAGTCACCCGTATCAACAGTTTAGGGATTTGCATACATAATTTATTGTTTTATTACTCTCTCATACATAAAAATACACTATAGTCATAGACGTTAATGATACACAATTTGGTTTTCGCAAAGGTCTAGGAACGCGTAAAGCTCTTTTTTCATGCCTGGACGTCAATCAAGATATATACGCATGTTTTATTGACTATAATAAAGCATTCGATAAAGTAAGACATTAACAATTAATGAATGTCCTGAAATCAAAGAAGATTGACTACAACGACCTGAGGATCATATTAAATTTATACTACAAACAGCGAGCAAAAAAAAGTACGTGTTAACGAACAGCTGTCAGAAGAAATTGAAATTACACGTGGAGTTAGACAGGGATGCGTATTGTCGCCAATTCTTTTTAATGCCTACTCCGAAGAGATCCTGAAAAACGCTCTTGAAGGTGAAACAGCTGAAATAAAGGTAAATGTAGTTTCAATTAACAACATTAGATAATATGCGGACGACACTATGTGATCTTATCCGAAAATATTGAAGATCTTCAGATAAGGATGACCAAAATAGTAGAGTATGGAAATCAGTGCGGTCTAACAATGAACATCAAGAAAACTTCTTGTTATATTTTGTGACATTTTGGCTTGTAAGTTCATGTTATGTCCGTTGTTAGTTCTTAGGTCCTTACTTCGTCAAGTTAAGTTTAAAACGTTATTCACAAAAAACTTTTATCATCCATTAACTTCATCTATCATCAACTATCATCTAAGCGAAAGTACATGGGCAAGATTTAATTGTTAAAATTCTACTCGATATTTGCCTTTCATTTTCAAAGTTCATTTATTCGAGCATTCAACCTTATATCAAAACAATATTAATTACGTTGTGTGATTATATATCATTTAAAATATTGTTGAATAAACGTCTGAATTTGTTACATATGATATAAATTTAGTATTAATGCTATTCCCCTAACAACTAATGAATAATAATTTCTCTAAAAATGGTTTATTCAGACCTTATTTTTTGCTACATTTCCATCCATTTGTTCTGTGTTTTATTAAATTCATTTCCTTTTTTAGCATTGCTTTTCTTCTCGACAGCCTCATTCCCCAAGGGATCAGTTACAAAATTAAGGCAAATATTAGACCATTTATCCGTTTTATAGTTTTAATAATCTGCAATTTTATATCCGTGGTGATATGGAAAATTCTCATTATGTTTTTAGAACCGCCATTATTAAAAAGTGAGATAATTAAAAGAAAACAAAATTGTAATTTTCACTCAATTTTATGTGTTTACGAAGGTAGCATGCGCATTTTAAGAATATTGACGTAAGTTTACAACCTACCTTTACATTTCAGTTTCTATCAGTTTCATTTTTTTAAATAACAAAAAATAGGTTACTTTCTGTTTATAGTAACGTGTAATAGAAAAATAATACTTAAGCTAAATCCGCGAACTAAGTTCATACAAAATAATGAAACGAAGTATTAAATACGTCACTTAGACTACATGCTGTTGTAATAATTTTAATATTTGCTTATAGGGGGCTAAAAGAGAAGACTGAACATTTACTGGACTTGGAGATAGGATAAGTAAAAAATTAAAATGTTTGCGAACGGCTACTTGTGTTTTGATTGAAGAGCAAGGTCGTGGTAAGGCTTCCTTGAAGAATTCGAAACTATTTAAAATTAGGAGGCCGTTTAAAAAAGATCTCTTGCTGTTTAGGAAAAAAGGTTTAGGGTTTGTTCTTTCCTAAAAATGTTTTAAGGGTGAATATCTTTTTAAAAGAAATATTTTTTTAAACTCTTAGTTTAACACGTCGCGTCGTATGCTTAAAGCGTAACTAATATACTGACTAGTATATAGTTCGGCTTTAGAAATATGACTAGTTCCAATTACTTTGTAGACGCAAGTATTAACCAAATTTATTTTAATAGTCAAACTTTTACTCTTTTATTCTTATGTTTAAGCTGTATCTGTATCTGTAGGGTAGGATGGGCGAGTTAAGTTTACAGCACTTAGGCCACAATTGACCCATTGTGCATCATACCAGAGAGCTGTCGCCCTTAGCTCATTGACCATCCTGCCATTTCTAGGAAGGGAACAAGTCACCAGGAGACATCTCTCTTATGTGGCAGGTGTGGGCCAGGCTTCGTTGAACGCGTACTCTCGTATTAACGATAACTCCGGGCAGTAGGACATGCTTTACTGTTTCGTCTTCTCGTTTACACTTCCTATATGGAGGTGTGTCTGCTAGTCTCAATGTGTGGAGGTGTTTGCTTAGTTGACAATAACCGGTTAAAAAACCAACTGTCAAGCGTAGGTTTTTCCTGGTCATTTCCAAGTGCTTCTTTGATGCTGACTCTTCAAGGTTACTTAGTGTTACCCTGGCAAGTTTACATCATTGCCCTTCTTCCATTGACATTTGACAATTTCCGCGATTGTTGTAGTTGACCAACCACAAAGATCTCCAGGTCCTAAGAGTCTTAGGGCTGCCGTCTTTCTAGCAAATTGCTTGACAATGCGGTTGCCTTTATTCCTGTTGTGTCTTTTAGCCGACCTCAGGATGATGGTATTACCGTCCGAAGCCTAAGTTAGTGACTCGTGACACTCCATTACTAACTCTGATGTGACACGTGTTACTACTCTGTTACTCCGTGGCGTTACAACCCTTCGTAGGTTTTAGCCGACTCGACAACATGCCTCCACTGTTTTCTGTCTTGAGCAACCTCCATCCAATTCTCCACGCCCATAGTGCTTAGGTCTCCTGCTATATTATCTCGCCACCGGAGACGAGGGCGTCCGCGTGGTCTCCTTCCAGTTGGGACTTCCTCCCACACAAGTCTTACTGTTCGTTCGTCAGAATGTCTTCTGAGGTGTCCTGCCCATTGGAGTCTTCTGGACTTTATTTCTTTTATGATGTTGGCGTAAAGTTCTTCAAGCTCTTTATTAGTTCTTATCCTATATTGTCCTGATGCTTCATCAAGCACCGGACCAAAGATCTTCCTTAGGATTTTTCTTTCCCAAACACGTATTCTCTCTTTGTTCTTCCATTGACTGTGGATTCAACTGAACTACTTGGATCATATCCCATTTATATATTTTGCTTTTAAGTTTGATTTTAATTTTTAGCAATTCAACTGAATATTCAGATTTTCTTTTTACAGGACTGATAGCGCTTAGTGGACCATTTTATTGTAGTCAACTATCCACTGTCTAATATATTGTTTAGTCTATTTCTTACATTCATACTTTATGTCAACTTCAATTGCTCTCAAACTAACATCCTAATTATTATAGACAGGTTTGAGTGTGAGATCTAGATTATTCAATCTACATAAAAATATTCGATATAATTTATATTTCATCAGTTGATTTCCTATAGTGGTGTCAGTTGGACCTTTGGTCAGTACTTAGTTTCATAGAATCTTGAAAGGCGCAGATCACTTATCTATTGTAACTGCCCTTCACAAGCTGTCATTTGTCACATGTCATCTAAATATTTCCGCCAGGTTGGAAGTCATTCTGTCTCCGGCTTCTATATAAAATGTAGCTTCTCCATTTCTTAAATGTTAAAGTGTTTGTTTGTCTTTGTTTAGTGTATTTGTTATGTCCCAATTTACATTTATAACATTCTATTACTGCTGGATAGGCCACAACTGACGAAGTAAGTCTATAAACGTTAATCACATAAAAAACTTTTTTCAACTAGGAGTTCAGCTTGGAGTTTTTATCCAAGTGAATTAATTTTCCTTTTTTAAAAAAACGTTTCTTGGCTTATTTCAGATGCCCTGAGGATGATCTTGTGATCGAAAGTACTTGAGCAAGATTTGATTAACTACTGTGTTCGATATTTGCCTTGTGTACCATCAAAGTTCAGAAAAATTTAGGCTATAGTTTATAATCCTTGGGGTATTAAGTCCGCGATTCTTCTTTTTCTGGTAAAAAGGACCATATCTGTTTTCTTAGGATTTATAGACAGTGAGTGTTCCTTGCACCATGTTTCTATTAGTCGGAGAGCAATTTCTAATCTCTCACATAGCGTGTTCTCAAACTTACCGCTTTGTAGAACAGCACTATCGTCTGCATAGACTATTGTGTAGAAACCGTTGCTGCTGAGTTGGTCAACCAGGGTATCTAGAACTATGTTCCAGAGGAGTGGTGATAGCAACCCTCCCTGTGGACACCCCCTCGTAACAGAAATGTCTTCAACATTTATGCTTATTGCTCTATTGGAGAGGATACTGAATATCAATTTGCTTACGACCAGAGGAACATTTCTGACATTAACCTATTGGGTGATGGTTGGAAATGTGGTTTTATCACAAACTCTCCCTCAATGTCTATGAATATACATACCTAGGGTGGATTCTTTATTATCCAACGATCTTTTAATTCTTCCCACCACATGATGCAGTGCAGAATCGGTAGATCTTCCCGAAGTATATGCATGCTGATTTGGGTGAAGTTTTCAACAGAAAGGATGTTAGGCTAATTGGTCGGAAAGCCTTTGGTAGGGTGTAGTCCATCCTACCTCTCTCCACTTCCTAGGAATATATCTCAGAACCAAAGAGGTTCTGAATATTTCCACGAGGTGCGGCAGAAGCATAATCAGTCCCCACCGTAGTAGGGCTGGATATATGTCCTGGTGATTTGAAAGGGGTGAAGCACAATATGGCCCATTTTACCTTTTCCTCATTAATCAGTGTTCTGGCCAGATGGTCGTTTATTGAGGGTATTATTGCTTCTTCCATCCAGTTTGGTGCTGTTGAGACATTAGAACCGGAAAAGTGTGTTTTCATCAGGACCTTAGCACTTTCGCAAAGGTTGGAAGTTTTGTTTTCATCTTCCTTTGTTAATATGCCGACATGCCGATTTGGGTCCTTTGAGAGCGCTTTTTGTAGCCTGGAAGAGTGTGGGAAATTTTCGATTTTCTCACAGAAGGTTCTCCAAACAGCTCTTTGTCTTCGTCTGCAGACTTTTTTAAACTCTCTGAGATTTGATTGATAATAATCCCAATCCCCTTTGAATTTGGTGCGTTTTGCTTTATTAAAAGCTGTTCTTCTTACCTTCCTAAGGTGTTCCAATTCGGTGCACCACCAAGAGGTGGTTTTGCGACTTTCTTGGACCATCCTTATTGGACAGAATTTTTATAAGCATAGCTTATTTTGTTTTGGATAGATGCCGTATACCTTTCCAATTCTGTATTAGTTCCTGGAGTTGAAATCCTTCTAGGGTCGCGCGATTTGATAAGGCTTTTTTCCAGACTAATATAGGTTAGCCAGCGGTGGTCAGACATAGAGAGTTGACAATCTACTATAGAGGTATCCTCCGATACTTGTCTGAATTTGATTCGATATTTGTTTAAGTGGTAATACTTATTTCTTGGTTTTTCTCTGATGATGATCTGATAGGATTGAAAACATTCTGAAAATTTATAAATCCATTTTGGATAATTTTTAAAATTTTTAATAAATTTTTTTTAATTCATAGTAAGTTTAATTAAATATTTGTTCTACTAAAAGAATTTTTATTCATTTATAAGAATCCCTTAAATTGTAGAACGTGCTATATATGGAGACCGACCCGATTAAGTCTTGTCGAATATAAAATTTGCCAAGAATCCATCCAATCTAATGGATTATTCGATCACTCTGCCTCCTACATAAAGAAAATCCTCCTAGAAGAAAGCCATAAAAAATCCTCCGCCCAGAATGTAGTTTTCTCCGTTAAATGCAAATTTCAGGAGCCGAACTACGACCGGTGCACAGAGAAAGGTTACGGGATAATAAATAGTCCGTTTTAATCCGACATTTCTCGACGCCCTGCTGTTTCAGCTCTCCACGTCGGCTTATAGAGCTAGGGAGTGCTGTCTCTATCTTGTCGCAACTTTAAATTTTAGATTAATGATTTTGAAAAGTGACCACTGTGATATTCACGAAATTCTGCGATATACAATGGTTACCGATTCTAGGGATTACTCTGCTTTTGCCCTGTTATGATTAAGAATGAACTATCATATTTTCAGAATCTTAAACAAACATATAACAGGTAACTTTTTAATAGAATACAATAGTAGTATATACATTTGGGTTAAATTTTAAAATAATTCAATTAAAACAATCTAAAAAAATTAAGAGAAACAAACGGTTGGGTTTTGAAACATTTAGAAATCGATCTAATGCCGGGTCCAGACCAAGCAGACAAAACGAAAACACAATTCTGAAACAAAAACACGATAAACCAGCGACAAAATTTGTCGTCAAAAGACAAACTGTCCACACCAGAACAACAAAATATAAAAACAAAATTCAGTTGGTGACGTTGTTGTTGTGATTAGTGTTGGTTAACCATGTGGCGTTTTAATCAAGAAAAAAATGAAACTGAAGATTTATTGCTAGCCGCAAGTTGTTTTTTTTTGCTCTTATCATCATCCCAGATTGCTAAAAGAAAACCCAAACGTTTTTGGATTAGACTAAGTCTAAAAATGCGAGAAAGTTGTTCGATGGACAAATTGTTAGTTCAGCTGCGCGCAGATGTTATTGGACTAAGTGGTGAAATTCGATCAAGCTTCAAAAATTTTTTAAGAATGTCGACCGAAGATTTTGAGAATCTGATATGCCTTGTTGGTCCTGCAGCAAAAAGACATACTAGCTTTAGAAATGCTATAAGTGTAACAGAAAGGTTAGCAATCACTTTAAGATTTTTAGCAACAGGTGATTCCTACCACAGCCTAACGTCTCAAAGCAATCAATATCTGTAATACCTGAAGTATGTAAAGCTTTAATTAACAGTCTTAGTGGTTATGTACAGGTATGTTAAACTTTTTTCATTACTATTTTTCTGTTACTAATCCTTAAAATAAACTCCGTATTTATTGGTTAAATGTTTAATACAAAAGAAAGTGACGATAGGTACATACTACATACAAAATAATGACGAGTCTACTTGTTTTTACATTCAAAAAGTTAGTTTTCTTGATCTGAATACTGAGAAAGCTCTTTGTCAATACTAGGTGGATGTGAAAATAAAGGTTGTGTGTTGGTGTTTGGTGGATTTAAGTAAGAATTTTGTGGGTCAGCGCTAGATGGATTTGAGTATGAATGTTGCGTGTTGGGTAGATTTAAGTATAAATGTTCAATGCTGGGTGGATTTGAGTATAAATGTGTGTCAATGCTGGGAGGAGTTGAGTATGAACGTGTGTCAATGCTGGGAGAATTTGAGTATGAATATTGTGTGTCAGTGCTGGGTGGATTTGAGTACAAATGTTTGTGGGTTGGAGTTGGATGGAGTTGAATGAACATTTGTGTTGAGACGAAAGTGGATTTGAGCACGAAGAACCAGAAAATCCTGTGGGAAACTGAATAAATTCTTTCATTTGGCGTTGTACCTAGAATAGTATGGCTTCTTGGGTTCATTATACTTGCCCATTTCAGCGTCATATAATAGATTGTGAATTAGATGTTCTACTGTGGACTGGGCATAGGGTGTGGGTAGACTCCTCAATTTTTGAGTGTACTGCTTAAACCTAATATACCTAAGAATAGAAAACAATCTCGGTAAAAGGTCTCTGTGATGAGCTACGGCCAAGGTTGGCCCTCTGACAGGTATACGATCTTGAGGCATTGGCTAATAGTTTCATGGTTGATTCAACATCATGAACATCTTCAAGTTGGGATTCTAAGCTTCTGGTAGTTACAAATCGTTGTCTTAAGGTGGGAAGTTATAAAAAACGGTCCTGAGCAGTTGTTGTTACACGATGTCGTCCATGTCCTGGACGCCTAGAGTAAATCGGTCTCATTCGTATTATATAGACATTAAATATATGTGATGGATAAGAGCAGCCACAGACAGACAAGGGTGGAGGCAAAAAATAAAGGAGGCCAAGGCTCATTTTGGGCTGTAGTGCCGTAGAAGAAGA